CCCCCCCAGGCTACCAAGAGGTCGTTTTAGGGTTTTACTACCATCTTTGCGTTATCCTGACACAAAAAAGAATTGACATCAGCTGATTTTTTTTTGCCCTAACTCACAAATCCATGCAGTATTTAGAATGTTCCACATCACATTCACAAGGCGGGGATTTTTACTCAATTATTACTGGTATTGACGTAAAACAAAGTGAAAATCAGGTGTGATTTACAGAGCCTGCAGAAGTAGCGTGGTTAAATAAAAGGGCAACTTCTCAAATTATAATCACATTTGTAAAAAAAACCTCTACCTGCCACCGGTAGAGGTTTGAATAAACAGAAGGTAGGACAAAACTAGGTTTTAGTTATTAAGCTGATTTCAACTTAAGCTAGAAAATATTATTAGTTCCTTTTTATGGGGAATTATTTCTGCATTCCAGATTTTCTCATAAAATCATCATTCTCAGTGTAGCATTTTTCTTGACTAAGACTCCCACCCAGTAGCCAGTTCTGTAAATTTCTGACCATTCTGTACCATAACTTGCTCCAGGAACCAGATGCAGTATATTTAATTAAATAATTAATCATTATTTTCATCTTTTTTTCCTTTTGCTTAATTCTCTTCTCACTTTGTGGAGAAACATTTACAAAATTAAAGTCCTTTGCTTCACCAAGAACATTTGTGACTCAAGATTGTATTTCCCAGTCTGCAAAACCTGCCTGGAATAAATGATTAAGTGACTCTGAGTCACGGTTACCTGATAACCTGGTACATAGTAGCACCTGAGAGGGTGTTGGCTTTGTTGTTTTCCATAACTTAACTCTGAGGGAGCGTCACAACACTAGCAGTGTGTTTACAGTAATTCTTTCTCTTTCTGTTATTTGACTGTAATGAGTGTGCACAGAAAGTGTTTTCAACAGGCGTGAGACACAGCCACTGTGTTTTAATGTTCCTTTTATAATCACATGTCTAGTAAACAAATGCAAAAGGCTGAGAGGCAAATTCATCTGAGCACGAAACATGAAACAGACCAGAGTTAAAGCATAGTGTCTTTAATTCCGGACAAAATACATCGTCCTTGGCTAGGAGATTTAGAGGACTACTTGAGGAAAAGAAACCTGCCACCGGTAGAGGTTTGAATAAACAGAAGGTAGGACAAAACTAGGTTTTAGTTATTAAGTAGCCAGTGTGCTGGTGGATGTAAAAGTATCCAGTGACTTACCGGAGAGCTCGAGAGAGGCATATAGGATGAGGACCCACAATAGGAGGTTTCGTGTCATTGTCCAAGTGCAAACTGAGTGTGACAGAGCAGACCAGCATTGTAATGACAATTTATAAACTAGGAGTTCCTGTTCTGTTAACCACGCCTACCTCTTACAAACATTCACTTCTACAAACTGGCTCAAACACGCCACTGCTTGTGTTGTGACATGTAGAACATGCTCCATGCTCTTACTTAATTATTAAGTGGCAAATTTTCACGTCCTATAAACCTTAAGCTTTATCAGTACTCATTTAGACATGTAGGCTACATGGAATGAGGTTGTAAACCTCCCACCTTTTTTATGAATGATACTTAAAATACCTCACCTTAAAAGCCATAAATAAGCAGTATGACTCACTGTGTGATGTGGTTTAAGCTTTGCTGTTTCCGTTGTCGCACTTGTCACACACATGTAGAAACATCATAAAGTTTCACAGTTTTTTCCAAATATAGATATTGTCTTGTAAGCTCTACAAAAAAAATGTTCGCGCCCCCCCCGCGCGCGCACACGCACGCACAAACACATCCTCCAACCACACACCCATATTTTGCTCCATTGCGGTTTATTTCACACCTCAAACATTTAGTAAACAATTAAGCAAATACAAGTAATCTTCAATAAATTACAGGTAATAAGAAAATAAACTACTAACTCTTTTACGCTACGTCCACACCTACGCGGGTATTTTTGAAAACCCAGCTGTTTTGTCGTTTACGTGTAGACGGCGTTTCGAAACGGAGATTTTTTAAAACTCCTTTTTTGCGTTTACCTGTGGACAAGGAATATGTGGACAGAGTTCCTCAGGACCCAACGTGAAAGGTATGTGCCTTTTTTCACGTCATGCTGTGCGCCACGTTATTGTTTACATGAGAGGAATTGCAGAATGGCAGATAGTCAGATTAAAAGTATTTTGTCTCTATCTTCAGGTTTTACAGGCTTACACATGCAGTTACTGTCCCTCCATTTAGAAAGGCAGAGGCATCACGGTGTGATTATTTTATGTGTAGTTGTTCCCCCCTGTGTAATAATATTCAACATTGCTATCAATACATTTTTCAAAAGAATGCCTCTCTGTGCAAAATGGGTTTAAAAACATAAACAACTGTGGGATACTGTTTGTCCGTGATTTGAACCGAGGGAACAAATCGTGGCAGGATCAGCCTGATATTATTTGTAT